GCAGGCGGAGGTTACTGAAACCCTCAGTTACAGAGGCAAGAGCTGATGGAGCTCATGATGCTGTTAGAGCAACTTTCATCACATTAAATATGCATCACAGAAGATGCTGAAGAAGAACTGAGAAGCTTCTCAGTTCTAACTTTATCTGAACACCTGCAACAAATACAACATCATAGTCATAGCAGCCAATCAGGGAGCAGTAAGAGGCTGACAGGTTATAGAGACACAGCTCTCTGATTGGCTGACGTCCAGACACACCTGCTGCTACTCTTAGCATCAGCATCCTCTAAAGAACATGACTGTGGGGAGCGTGGGCTGCTGTCCATGTGCAGTTCAAACACAAAGTTTAGAAGTCCTGATTGGCTGTCCAAGCAGGAAATTACTCACAAACAGACGCAGCTAAGAGGCCTGTACCAGGAAGTGAGTTTAACACACCTGGGATATCTTCCTGGTGTCTGGATTCACTCAAACTAACGAAGCAGGTTATCAGCTCACCAAGTTAATAAGCAGCTTCATGTGAGCTTCACATGAAAGGAGTGAGCGTTAATATTACATCATTATTATTATTACGACTTTTATTCTGACGGCTTGATCCTGGTCAGGTGTGTGTGGTTTCACCTTCATCATCTTCAACCTCAGTTTGTCTTTGTTCCTGCAGGACGACCAACAGCGTCGGAGTGTCCTCACAGGCCGAGAACCGGCTGGAGGTGGAGTCAGAGTGTAGCAGGAGGGACTTCCTCTGAGCCGAAGGCAATATGCTGCGGACTTCCTGCTCTGATGCCTGTGGTCTCAATCTGCTCTGGTAAATAAAACCGCGCACGTGAACACGTCTGTTAAGTTTCCATGACTGAATCTTTTGCTGACAGTCTGGTCTTTGGTAACATGACACTAAATTCTTCTACGATGAAGATGAGTTCATGTGCAAACAGCAGCACAACCCATGCAACACGTGTAACAATGTTACAGTGACAAAAGACACCGACTCTACAGTCCCAATAGCTGCAGTTCCTCTGACATCCAGCAGAGGCAGCAGTGAGTCAGTCCCCATAGACTCCCATGTTAAAACTGTACAGCAGAAATAAACATGATTGAAGCCTGATACACAAACTGTTTGTCTCTGTGGATAATGTCCTTCTTCATAAAACCTGTACAGTAGAAGAATGTTTTTAGGATCCACCTGGTTAATATGTAATAAGGTTTAAAGTTTAGGGGCGTGGCCTCTTTGGCTGACAGGTGGATGGTGACACAGGTGTTTGGATCTGCTAGCTGTCTGCTGACATGTTGCACACGTCTGTAACTCTGCCTGAGTGTTCGGGTGATGCACGTGCTCAGATGCGAGGCACGGATGCCTGGATTAAGTTTAAGCACACTACGTCTTGCTCCACCTCATCACCCTCTTTTAACTATAGATTACAAAC